AAAAAAAAAAAAAACTTAACTTCGAATGTGAAACGCATTTATTAAGTAATCAACTAATAAACAATAGTAGTTAAAAAACAAAGTTCCCCTGGTTATTAGATGTGAAAGAAGTTTATCTAGTATATTTTTGTAAGAGGACACTATGTGAAGAGATTCCTATAATAAGTATTTTGTTTTACCTTTCCTGTATCACTTTTAGATATTACACTCTATTTTTTGAAGGTTTAAGTTACTACCTTCCAGCTCCAGTGGAAAAGCATGATTTTATGACAAGACTTTTACTAGGTTTTTTTATAGACACTTTTAGGTCCTAAGAACACATTTAGACAAATGAGTTTGCTAAATGTCATGTTCCTAACAATTTTATCCTAAGAGTGTAATATTTATTACTGTCTAAATATTGCATACATTTTAAACAGCTTGTACTGCTTAAAAGTATTAACCCAATCGTTAAAAAATATGGTTTCTAATTCAATGTTTTAAATATCTAATGTGTATGCAATATAGTTAGTTTTGATTTATAAACTGTTGGCACTTACTGGTCATTATAAAAGAATGACAGTGGTTACCCTCATTTATTTCTACTCATTTCCTCAGAAAAAGTATATCTGAATGCAAGATTAGGTAAGACTTTATTTAAGACGTAGGATTATGAAACAAAAACATCTATGTTATAAAGTTAAATCCAAACACTTGTTTCCATTTTTTTCTTTATCAGTTTTCATGTTGACTGATTACTTCTGAAAGATTAAGGAATTTATGCAATAGGAAATACATTTAATTGTATACCTATTAGATAGCTATTATATCACATTAAAATTATAGTATTTAAAAAGCAGAGCTTAAGAAAATGCTCATGTTAAAAAGTATGTAAAATTGCACATGTTCTATGACTATTAACACACTTTTAAATATATTAAAAATCTGATAGGGAACCATAAGATAGAAATAGCAGTTAGTTTCATATATGAAGGATTAGAGATGTTTTTGTTGTTTATACCTTTCTAAAACTTCGTATTATGTATATTTTGTAAATATTTATTGGGTGTTACATAATAATCCATAAATTAGTTCAAGATTTGTAATTAAAATAGCTGTTGAACATTACACTTTAGTCCTTGGATTCATATTTTGGGTATCTCTATTGTTACTATGCAGAAGGGAAAATGTACAGAACCATCTATAACCAGTAAGATAAGCATACTTCCCCCCCCCAATATCTAAAAAGGCAGGTTTATTATAAAAGGGAGAGATGAAAAAAGGACATTTACACAGACACAAGCAGGCAAAAAGAGCTGTCCCAGAAGGCACAGGTCTGCTTAGAGGCCTGCATAGTCACAGGCTGCATGCAGCCTTGAAGAGAGGGGCCTCTGCTGAGGGAGATACAGGTCGTAGGCAGGCAAGTAGGCAGCTGCCCTGCAGAGGGACAGAGTTGGCAAAAAGAAACTCCCGCATAGGCACAGGAGGGCAGAAAAACTGGTGTCCACACTACTTTCATTAGTGCATTAAGGTCAGGTCTTTTAAGTATCTTTATGCTGAAAATTTTCAGTCTATTTCTAATTTTATGCATGTGGTAGGTAAAGAATCTAGATGTTTTACATGGACAATACTGAGAATTAGCCTAATAAAATCTAATCTGTTGAAAAAATTACCAACTAACTATAAAAGCTTTTATATGTAGTTTGCTTGAAATTTAGTCACCTGAAGTCATTTTTAAATTTTAAAATACTGTTTTCTACTGTTTCAGACCAAGTCTCACAATTAGTTCAAGACTTGTGAAAATTTACTATACTAAGTATCACAATCACACCCCAGAATAAATTTGACTAACATCAATTATGTGAATATTTCCAGAATAAAACTTGAATGTGTGTATGCATACATACATAAGTAAAAATATCTTTTTTTAAAAAAGATGTATAAGTATTTGTGCATACAAGAACTGGGATATAGGGCAGTTGGGTGGCGGGGGTGTGAAAGGTTTCACCAGTGACAGAGTAGGGAGCAGAACAGGTGGATCTACTGAGATATACTGCTGAGGGGAGCAGTGGGTGAGATAGGTCTGTTGTGCCATGTGTGTCATCCCTCTGACCAGGGATGGAACTGGAGCTGCAGTGGCTGCTAGCTGCATAGTGCTGAGACTTAACACCATGAGCCACCAGGGAGGCCCTAACAATATCTTTAAAATACTTGGTGAGTATCTCTCAGGGAATTTAATGAAATCTATGAAGTCATCCAACAACTACTATCTTTTCAGGCATATTAATTTCTTTTCATTTTAAAAGACTACTAGTTCAAATGCCTTTAGTCACACGCTCAATCTGAACTTCCTGATAAAACCACTAAGTTCTTCAACTGCAGTGTTGCACTGATAGATATTTCTATCCTGTTGATAAGCTAGAGAATTATTCTGACACTTTTCTGGCAATATTAGGTAGATATTTTCCCCCTGGAAATAAAGAAGATTATGATGTCACTTCTTGGCATTCCAGAAATATCACTGTACTGAAATACATTACTAATTTTTTGTATTAATGTTCTATAGCCCAAACTATATTCATATAGATTAAAAAGTAGAAATGGCACATTTCTTACATTCTTTAAATGTGAAATAATGCAGCAAGTACACATACTCACACACATCATTGGCTCCTCAGTCAACCTCCCCAGATACTTCTTTTTTTGTTGATCATTTCCAGCAATAATAACGGGCATTTGCTAACAAAGAAAAGTGACATTTAAAAATGGAGGTGTTTTCAGGGAATTGGTGTTGGAAAGCCCACGGGGATTACAACTGAGATGGAAAAAAAGCACAAAATGATGTAAAAATAAACTATTATATTATTTTTAAAGGTGTTTTTCCTAGTTATGTAAATGCAGAACTACTGCATTCAAAGCAAGAGATTTATTTTACCTCAAGGTATAGGTCCAAAGAACTTCCTCTTAGTGGAGTTGTAAAACTATAAAGGCTTTAGAAAATAAATTGTTAATCCAAGTATTTTTATAAAATTAACTTAAACATAGGAGTTGTTCTTAATACAGTATGCAAAAATCTACTATAGTGAAGTGTATATACAAAAGAATCAAATTTTGGTTAAATGAAGTAGTATGTATGATTAGGTCTCCTAAGAATTGCTTACTAAATGTTAGAATTGCCAGCACTGGCAGTAAGCCATTCTGTTCCTTCTCCTGAAGAATGGTTCTTGTCCTTGCCTTTACAGAAGATTTGTCCAAAGTGAAATGTACAGCCAAAGTGTACAGTTTCACAAGAACTGCTAGGACTCCATGTACTGGAGACAGCAGGGCCATTTTTGAATATTAACTTCAGACTTCATTGTAGTATCTTGTGTTTCTTTTTAAAGAAAACTGTGTTACCATGTAGCCTAAAATAGCAGTTAACTGTCTCACTAATATTAGCTCACAGCTCAGTAATTAATTTTCAAAGTAACTTACTCCCAAAGAATTTGCTTCAATAGCAGTCTGAACCCCGGTACATCCATAAGCCAATTCTTCAGTAATTAAACAAGCATCAAAAGTTCCAAGTCCAAGACCTCCTATAGTATCAAAATATTTTAAAATTTCATTATGTAATACAAAACAACAGAATTAAAAGTGAACTACTGAATTACTTACAATATGAACTAACCGGTTTTAAAAGTAAATTTGCAAATACGTATCTGTAATACAATAAACTAAAAAGGTATTCTTACAGCACAGTAACAAATTATACTTTTCTAAAATAAATTTCAAAAAATCCACTTACTATGTATAACTTGTAAAAGCTTAAATCAACTCTGCTAGAACTTTAACCCTCTGACCTGAAGAAAAAATGAAAATCTCACAGGAAAAAAAGAAAAAGTCTTAGTCAAATGTAAAATTAAAGGTAGATTAAAATGAACAAATTAACCAATTCTACAAAGGTACCAAAGTTTAGATAAAGTTAAGGATAGAACCAATTTTAAAGGAAGAAAAAAATGTCTTTGATGAATGTAAGGCTTTTGAAAGCAGGCAAATATTGTACTCTGAACAGAGACAAAGATAGAACGTCATTTATTAGCAACAAATACTTCAAAGAACAAGTAGAGTTTAAAGTTTTTCTTGATCATATGCATATTGTGTTTAAAAATCTGAAGAAAGCTTACCACAACTCTCTGGAATGTGTGTATTCATTAAGCCAAGTTCCCAGGCTCTTTTAATTAGAGGTACAGGGTACTAAAAGTAAAAAAAAAAAAAAAAGGAAGGAAGGAAGAAAAAAAATCCAGTTATATTTAAAATCTAGATAACAGTCTTCTAAAAATGTTTCTCTCCTTAAGATGTATATACCTACCTCACCAGTTTTATCATATTCTGCTGCAACTGGTATTATTTCTTCCCTGGCAAATTTACGAGCAGTAGCTTGAAATTCTTTCTGCTGCTCAGTCAAGTCTATGAGAAAACATAACATGATGATGAATTGAAGAAAAAATACCTATGATATCTGTATGTGGATTGATGTAACTCTTTTAATCTCATATAATTTAAATTTATAAAGCACAAAACTGGTAAAATGGTGGAAAGATTTCTCCAAAAGATCATGATACATAAAAATGCTATAATACTATAAGCAGTGTCCAAACAACTTAACATATATTCTGTGGAGTTATGTTTACTATAAAGTTAATGAAATAAGTAAGAGGCTAGACTGAGGGTAAGAACTAATCAGGATTACATTTTTCAGATCCACACTTAATGTGATTCTATCTAACATTGAAGGATAGATAAAATTTCAAACTAATAAAGGGTGTTTTAGGCAAGAAAAATGAAAGCAAAAGCACAAAGTAAAAATGAGTAATGTTTAAGAATATAGTAATCATTTATATAAGGGCATGAGAAATAAAATGTAAAACGCATTACAATTTTGGTGTTCAACTGAATAGTCTGGATGACATTTCTCATTTTATAGATAAGGAAACTTTAGACCACACTGAGGAAATGATAGCCTCATAACCCTACAATGAATTAGCAATAAAATATAATTAGAGTTTCAGTCCAGTGTTTAGATTATGACTTTACTTCTAAAATTGGAATCACTTCACATTAAGATTGTGGATGGGTAAAGAGAAAGCAGGGATCTATTATGTATTATTTGAGAACCTACTTAAATCCTGTCACCCATGTAGTAGGAACTTTATATATGTAATTTAATCTTCAAGTAAGTCCTGTGTTGTACATATTATTCCCATTTTATAAAGAACCACATTCAACTAATCATAAGTCTCATCCCTGTTCCTTTACTTGAGCTTCACAAACTCCCTCCCAAGCAGTATCTGATCCTTTCACTTATAAAACCACCATCAATTTGTCCTGCCAATCCCTTATTACTGAGCATAAATCTGGGTCACAAACTGAAACAGCAATCATACTGAACCAATGCTCTTATCTCAATAAGGATATAATATGAAGATCCAGTGTCCCACAAATTATCCTCACATTGTTTGAAATTTTTCACTTAATCCTATTTTTAAAAACTTACCAAAAACTAACAATCTTCAAAAATTAAGTAGCTAAAAATTACTACTAGTGTATTCTGAGACTATCATTCTGTACATGGGTGTAAGTTAATGATCTCAGTGGCCTTTTTAACTATTTTCTGAAACCAAGAGAACTGAAATTAAACACAAGAAAGATAGTAATTTTGTGGCCAGATGTATTTTAGGAGGCCAAGGATATCAAAGATAGGAATTACATTTTTTTTTTCTTTTCTTTTTGCCTAGAGTCTTCATTATAGAGAGGAAAGGAAACAGAAAGCTTTATCCTACCTCTAACACAGGGCTCTCTGGTCCCAGAATTGAAAGGTATATCTAATAACACCAAAACTGCAGTTCAGATATATAGTCGCAGGTATATCTAATAACATCAAACCTGCAGTTCAGATATATAGTGGCCAAAACAGACACAGCTTACCCCTCGCTGGCACCTAAATTTGTTTATCTACTAAGTTTTTGTTTTTTAAGATTTCATTTATTTCTGCATACAGAACTGGGGTACAGGCCAGAGGTGCAGGGGTGGTGAAAGGATTCGCCAGAGACAGAGTGGGGCACAGAACAGGCAGATCAACAAAGTATACTGCTGAGGGGAACAGCGGGTGGGCCAGGAGAGGTCTGCTGTGCCATGTGGGTCACCTCCAGGGCAGGGATCAAACTCATTCAGAATTGGCTTTAGCTTCTTAGTGCTGTGCTTTAACCCACTACGCCACCAGGGAGGGCCCAGTTTTTAAGAAATATTTGCTGCGTTCAAATATATAAGCTGAAGAATATCCATGTTATCACTAAATTTGTTATTTACTTTGGGCTATATACTAGAAAAGGGCAGGAATATGTGTGCATGCTGAAAGTGTATTCTTATTGCAAAGAAAGAAAGTAGAAGAATTAGTGAGACTAACAATGGATCATGCGTGGGTGGTGACTGATTCTATTTTTAACAGACATTACTGAATTTGTTTACAAACATATTCCAGACAAATACATATACAGAGCTGTAATATGTGTGTGTGTATGTATAAATTCAGACATTACTGAATTTGTTTACAAACATATTCCAGACAAATACATATACAGAGCTGTAATATGTGTGTGTATGTATATATATATATATATATACATACACACACATACATACACACACATACACAAAACCAATGCACGTCTATAAAGTAAAAAGACAGAAAGAATTAAACATACCAAAACTAAATCCCAGTCCTGGTTCATGTTTCACAGCTGCTTTTGTATGTTGTGATCTCCAGTCGAAATGAGAAATACTTCTCAGGATCTGTAAGCAATTTTATCGAAATAAATTTGCTAAATTTATTGAAATAAATTTGCTAAATGACACCTTAACCAACTAAGAGCTACAGATTAACAACCTGTTAGTTATATATTTGTTAGTCATTTAATTAGAAGGGTGGCTTAGTGGTCACAGAATATTATTTGGTGTTTAGAACACTACATTTGAACTAAATCCATTTTGACATTGAACCAGTTACAAAATTCCTGTAGTTTCTTTTCAAACCTGGAAAAATGGGGTTAATTTTGTTGAGTAATTTGTTGAGATGATTAAGATAAATGTCTTCAAAATATAATGCCATCCAAAATATTGTTTGTTATTCTTTGGGCTATGTACTCTTAATAATGGAATTCCAGAGCTCCGAATGACAGTACTTTTAATCAGTATCAACTCTGCAATAACAGTACAAGTGTAATTATTATCACCTTTGCACATTTCTTGTTAAAGAAGACATAGGAGCTTAACTTTTCTGGACTAATTTTTTTCTATACTTTCCTTGAAAGATTGAGACTTACCTTTTTTGTTTGTTCGTTTCAGTTAAAAACCACTTTTAGAAAAACTGCCTTCAGAGCCCACTAAATTGTACAGCACTTAATATTGGGGTACAATCCATTAGGACTATTCTAAATTCCAAAACGCTATTTTTCTGGTTAGTAACACTGATTTAACTCGACTATAAGTAACATTCAAATGGCAATATTGCGTAAACATAACAATAATACTTGACATAGCATAATACATTACCGACTGAACAAATTAGGACCTGTAAGACACACATTACAATATACAAATAAAGTTCAAGTGTGCGGGTAGGTTTTTCTTTTTTTTCTTCTTAACACCTGCAAGATGGAAGAGACCTCTTCCATATTGTAAAATCCAAAGTGTATTAAGAAGTATTAAGTATCCCAAGGTCCAAGGGTTTCATTTTACTTTTCCCCGTGACTTCCCCAAGATAACTTTCTAGTATACATCAATTGCAGAATCGCATCTGCTTTTTGATTTTCCTTGTTGGGCTGGAGCCAGAGTGCCGGTAGCTTTCCTCAAGGTGATTCGATGACAGTTTAAAATAAACAGGGCTGTGGTTCTAGACCCCGCCAAATTCAGAGACTGGGGAAACCACGGGATTCTTGGCAATATTTGGAAGGCTCGCGGGCAAGAGTAAAAAAAAGATATCCTGTAGAGTGAACGCCGTTTATGTAAGGAGCAGCATCCACCAAGATAACGTTAAGTGAAAAACCAGTAAGCAATCTGACCTTGCAGTGAGAGGGGTGGGGGTGAGGGTGGGGGTGGGGGTGGGGGGCAGGAGGTTGAAATACCGGCGCGGTATGGGAATTCTTGATCCCAGCCATTCGAGTAAATAGGGCCTACGCTTCCCGAGGCAGGCTATTTTGTCTGGTGGCCTCCTACCCTTACCGACAACAGCTATTTTTGGCCCATGCCTCCCTCCCTGAAAAACCCATTCCCCCGTCCCTCCGCGGCCCTGCTCTCCTCCTCACCCTGCAGCTTCGCCTGAACACGGCTGCCATGTTGAGTCCAGATCTGGCCACTCTTGGATCCACAATCTTTGATCCACGGGGTCAAAACTCGTCCTGGCTCCGCCCCCTGGGGGGTGGAAGCGGGCGGGGAAGGGGGCGGGGCATCCTACCGAGGGGTCGAAAGGGAAAGAGAGGGTGGGTGGGGCCGGCATGCGCAGTTTTACCTAAGGCATACTCGGTGACCCTGGCCGCTCTGGGCGCGACCTTGGAAGGGACATCACACTTGACCCTGAATATGGTCGTGAGAACGCTAGGCTTCGCATTGGACCTCTGAGTTCAGAGGACGCACGCTCTAAGAGGGAAGCAGAAGTTGACATCTCAGTGCGGAGCGGGAGCTCCGGGTGAGGGCGGGCACGGAGGAATGGGAGGCCCTGGCCCTGGCCCTGGCTCTGGCTGGGGAGGCGGGGAAGCTCCGGTGCTGGGGCGGGGCGCGGGGCTGGCGGGGGTTATCTGGGTGAGAGGGCGCGGAGAGAACTCTCGGAGCTCTCTCAGCACTGGAACTCACTGATTAGTGTCTCCCTCGCCATTAACCTTGACCTTTCCGCGGAGAAACTTGTCAGAGTCAAATCGTTTCTCTTTTAAACGTTCAAGATTCACTTACTCTCAAGTGCTGAACCTAAAGCTAACGGGTATTTTGCGATTCAGAAAATGTAAACAGTTGAATTTAGTCTTTTAGATCATTTGACCTTTCTGAATGTTTCCAGAGCAGTTTATTGCTATCCTTGTGTATGCATGGATGTGTCCTTGGAGATAAGTGTCCGAGATAAACCTCCTGCCACTGCGTTGGAACTGAGTGTCTGTCTGAATTCTATTTAAAGTCACCCTCTTTTTTTTCCCAGCTAGACAAAGTTCTGAGGTGATAGCTGTGATGTTGGAAAGCTGGATGATTTGTAAAGCTCACCCAGGTATAGATAGGTCTTTGAGAAAGCTAATAAATTCAAGCCTGGGGGGGGAATGTTTTCCATACTCCCCAGGGCTTTTCATTTATATTGCTACCATTGTCGTTTTAGGCCCTCATCACTGGCCCTTAAATCTTTTCACTAACTTGCTTATCATTCTTTTGCTTAACTAATGCAGCACCTAATGCCATTTTAGTTTAACTGCTTAATTTCAATATCCTATCAAAAACATTCCACATTTATTTATTCAGTTTAATAATTGTTAATTAATTGATAAATTTGAAATAACATTCCCAGGGATATTATGTAAATGAGAAAAGTGTGTCCTGGAATCATCAAGAAAGCCTACAAAGAGAGAGGTAAAGACACAATGAACTTTTGAAGATGGATAGCCTATATATGTCTTTTTTTTTTTTAAGATTTATTTTATGCTTACAGAACTGGGGTACAGGCCAAAGGTACAGTGGGTGAGAGGATTCACCAGAGACAGAGTGGGAAGAGAACAGGCAGATAGACAAAGTACACTGCTGAGAGGAACAGCGGGCTGGTCAGGAGAGGTCTGCCATGCCATGTGGATCACCTCCCTGGCTGGGGATGGAATTTGTGCTGCAGTGGCTTCTGAGAGCTTCATAGTGCAGTGCTTTTAACCTGTTGCTCCACCAGGGAGAGCCCCTGTATGTCTTCTTTTTAATTTCTTTTTTTTGAACATTTTAAACAGAAAATATGTTTAGTGCAGAGGCAGAGGTTCAATGCATTGACATACCTAGTGAGTTCCAAAAGCTAATGAAACTGGGATATTGAAGAAAAAGCTAAAAAGAAGGTAATGGGTAGAGCAAGTACAGTAAAGAAAAGATCTAGGGTTTCACCACACTAAGTAGCTGAAGCAGAGTAGAGAACAGATTATTTTAGAAAAAGAAGTTGAGAGGCCAGCAAAATAGAAGAATCATTTCTGTGGATGTTGAAGTGACTCTTAACTGGGTGGTTCCCAGGAGAAAGGGAGGTTTCCAGATTTCCTGCCCCACCCAAAGGAGGGTAGAGTTGAGCAGGGAAAAGGAGAAGCTAGAGTGGAGCCTGGAGAAAGAAAGAGGAAGGGTGGAGAACCAGAAGGCCTGGAGGAGGCACCAGGAGCAGAGACATGTGAAGAAGCTGGACTTGCTTTCTGGTCCTGGACTGTTTGAAACAGATGTGGGTGAGAGACCTGTGGGGAGGTTGACAGTGGCAGTGTTTATCTTCGTTTTGATTTTGCTTTTTTCCTCCCAGATTTGTCTAGCCATTTCTGACCCTTTATTATAGATCCCCACCAGAAGATGGTTTGGGCTTGTGGCGGGCTTTTAGGTCTTGCTTTGGGCCAACCCTCTCTGACTGACAATTCCTCTGAGAGATAGGTAACCTTGGGTGCTTGATTTTGAAACTATATTCTTTTGTCTTTTCTGTACTGAACACTAATTGTGTTAAAATTCCTTTTCATTAAAGATCTGAGACATATTTTGTCTTGGTGAGGCAGGTAGCAGAACATACTTAGAGCAGGCAGATTTGGGGGCTCTGGGGTGCCCCTTCCCTGGCCTGTAGCATTATTAAGAATTATGACTAGTTTGAGAGAAAGTGACTGAGGCAAGTACAAAACTTTCTTTAAGGATTTTTTAAAATTTGTTTTTGCATAGAAGAAATGTGCTGCAAGAGGTATGGGGTAGAGGTGGTGGTAAGAGGGTTAACCATAGACAGAGTAGGGAGCAGAACAGTCAGACAGATCTACTGAAATATACTGTTGAGGCGAGCAGCTGAAAAAACACCATGTGTTAGTTCCCTGGCCAGGAATAGAGCTCAGGCCACCAGGGAAGCCCCAAAGCTTATGATAACATCTTTTTTTTTTTTTTTTCTCAGCTTAATATGGGGGAAAAAAATGGTAGAATCATCATAAGCTGATATGTTTGGTACAAAGCAGCACTAGCCTTTTTGTATTTGGTATTTTTTCCTTTTCTATTCCTTTTTTTCACATAATACTCTTGCTCTGTCTTCTGCAGCAATATTAAATCTAGACTTCCCAGTATGTTACTATGAGAGATGATTTCACCAAAAAGGGACTTATAATTGTATTTCTACCAGGTCTTGGCAGACACTTAAAACTGTCAGTCTCAGCAATGAAATACCAGTTTCTTATTCGTGATAGTTGTTTTTAGAGCAAAAGTCATGCTTAATTGTTAATCCCACTTTAAATAATAATCTGGCTTAGATTT